GGATGACGGTAAAGATGAAATCTCTCATCTTTCTTAAGTAAAGGATTTGCTTCTTTCCTTACTTTCTATTTTATTTTCAGGAGGCTGAAGAGGAAGAACACTTAGCGGCCGATAGCCATATTCAGACGTCGCTTGGTCTGAGATCCACTAATCATTGAAAGTAATTCGTAGACTATTAATGACACCATTGTTAGGGGAAATGATGATGATCATATGGTCAGAGGGGATCAAACAATTAGTAGAGATTAAAATGTTGACTTCTTTTGCACAATTTTGATATTGATCATAGTTGAGGGTTCATCTTCTCAACCATCTTCCTCTCAAATTCCCTTAGCTCAACTGTCAATAGATCTTAAGTCCAAAAGAGGCTATCTCGAGCGGCTCTAGTTTATGAGTTTTGGATATAACCTCATATGTGATGCCCGAGGCGAATCCCACATCGACTAAGCACAAGGTAGAAGTAATATATATAAGGAAGGATAAGCCTTAGACTAGCAAGAGGCCTTTTGGGCTATGAGGTGGTTCTAGCCTAAGAACAAATCCGTGCGGGCCTGAGTAGGTTCGGCCTAAAGTGGATAATATCTTGTTAGGCCTGGGATGTTACAGTCTTGGTATCAGAGCTAAGCCTTGTCCCTCTAGCTGGTAGTGGGCAAATCTCAGCGAGGACGTTGAGTCCTTAAGGGGGTGGATGTGGATGTGAAACCCTAGGCAAATCCCACATTGGCTATATAACATCCCAGGCCTAATAAGATATAATCTGCTTTGGGCCGAACTCACTAAGACCCGCACGGATTTGTTCCTAAGCTAGAACCACCTGATATCCCAAAAGGTTTACTAGTTTAAGGCTTGTCATTCCTTATGTACATTACTTCTACCTTGGGCTTAGCCGATGTGGGATTTGCTTAAGGTGTCACATCATATCTGTGGCATCCCAAGCCTAATAAGATATTGTTCGCTTTGGGCCGAACCCACTCGGGCAGTATGGATTTGTTCCTGGGCTAGAACCAACTCATAGCCCAAAATGCCGCTTGCTAGTCTAAGGCTTGCCCTTTCTTATGTATATCACTTTCATTTTGTGCTTAACCAATGTAGGATTCGCCTAGGGTGTCATATACAACCCCTCTTAGGGACTCAGTGTCCTCGCTAAGGTTTGCCCCACCACTAGCCAGAGGGACAAAGCTTGGCTCTGATACCACTAAATATCACACCGTCTCTCGGTCCTAAAAGATTAGACGATGGGCGCCACATTCGGTGTCGAAGCCACCAATCTAGCTCACAGATAAATCTTAAAACTAATACATAAATTAAAAGTGATTAAGTATTCACAAATCTAGTAAGTCTTAAATTTTACTTAGAAAATAAGTTATGAATTTATTTGAGAATGTTTATTAGGCTTATTATAAGATTAAATGATTGGTATATATATTTATTATGAGACTTGTGTATGAGAATTGTATTAGAAGCTTATATAAGTTTCTTAATTTTGAAGTTGTGTAATATTAAGTTGTAAGAATCAGATCCAAGTTACTTATGTATGAATGGTTATAGAAATTATATTTAAGGTTATGAATGATTTATGAGTATGATGATGTTGTTGGTGAATTAAAGGAATTTTACATGTGATATAGTTAAGTTGAGTTGACTTTGATTACATTGGAGTTTGTTGGTTGTTGAGGTTTGAATTGGAAGTGTTGAGTATGTGAAACTCATAAGTAAATATTTAAAAGAATTTGACTTAATAAGATAAAGAGAAAATGAATGATTATATATGTATAGAGTTGATTTTATGTTGAGTTGATTATGGTAGTTGTTGGATGGTTGAGGATTTTAGATTAGAAGTGTTTTGTATTCATAGGTTTTAGTTAAGTCTGATTTTTAGGGGAAACTCTTGCAGTTTTTTTTTTTTTTTTTTTTTTTGAGTTTGAGTAGGGAAACTCATAAGTAAATATTTAAAAAGAATTGACTTAAAAATAAAGATAAAGAGAAAAATGAATGAATTATATCTATTATATGTATAGAGTTGATTTATGTTGAGTTGATTATGGTAGTTGTTGGATGGTGAAGGATTTTAGATTAGAGTGTTTGTATCTTCCATAGGTTGTTTAGGTTTAAGTCTGATTGTTTAGGGGAAACTCTTGCAGTTTTTTTTTTTTTTTTTTTTTTATAGGATCTGCAAAATATTTTTCTAAGTTAAAAAATTAGACCATAAACTGAATGGTATTTATCATTCATATTTTTAGATTCTAGGTAATTTTGTTAGTTAGAATGTTGTCTTTGCTTCGAATGTGACATCAACCTCTAATCATCTGGGACTAGACGGCGGGTAATGCAATCAAATAATAGATGATACATTCTATGGAAGTTTGCCCCTAGACCTTAGAATTCCTCTTGGCTCAGGTCCTAAGTTAATTGCCTAAATATCAATTATAAAAGAAATTAAGGAATTGGCACACCCCTAAAGTTATTCTTACCCTGGGACAAGTTTTTTTTTTTTTTTTTTTTTTTTTTTATAGGATCTGCAAAATATTTTTCTAAGTTAAAAATTAGAACCTATTAAACTTGTGAATACTTAACTACTTTCAATTCATATTTTAGTTCTAAGGTTAATTTGTTAGTTAGAATGTTGTCTTTGGCTTCGAATGTGACATCAACCATCTAATCATCTGGGACTAGACGGCGGGTATTGCATCATAATAGATGATACATTCTATGAGAAGTTTCCCTAGACTTAGAATTCCTCTTGGCTCATGGTCCTAGTTAATTGCCTAAATATCAATTATAAAGAATTAAGGAATTGGCCACCTAAGTTCTTACCCTGAGGACCATGTTGATTGAAATGGCATGCCTATCCTCTCAAACCGGTCAAATATCTAAGAAAATTATAAGTTGCAATCCACCCTCAAGCAATGATTTGACCAACGGGTTTTCAAGGATATTGAGTATAAAGCCCTTCAAGCGAGTATAACTAATCTTAAAGCCAAGCTCACATTCTTAGAATCACATGCATCTACTATTGTGTTGAGGTGACTACATTGAAAGAACATTGCCAAGCCAATCGAGAGAACTTAGAGAACTTGTGGGCTGAGAAAGCCAAGAGTGAAACTTTATTAAAGAAGAAAAGTACAGCCAATTGGACATTATAAGATTTATTATCATACATTTTTTTCTTAATTGCATTATGAGCTGTGTCCCTTCTTCTGTAATTACTCTTGAACCAAATTTACGATTTTAATATCAAAAATGATTTTACACTTATTCGTTTAATTGTTCAAAGTATCCAGAAAATGTCCTTTCTAAATTGTTTTATGAGATTGGTTACAAAGATCCTTTAGTCTATTACATGAATTCTTATCCAACTATCAAAAAAAAAAAAAAAAATCTCATTCACTAGGGGTCTTTCATAGTTTTGCCCCTAAATGTAAATTTGGATCGGTCACTCATTAAGCCAAATAAGTCTATTATCAAGTTAGTAGTTTTGTTGTCACTATTTAGGCATAAAGTTAGGTTGTTTCGTCCCTTATCATTTTGTTAATGGATTGATAAGGCAACCATTTGACCTACTGGCGCTCCAACCTAAGGAACCAAGTTCTTGGTTAGCTAGCTTACCGTCCATACAGATCAAGGCAAAACCACATTGTTGACCATAAAATAAATTATCTTTGGTCAATTGATGTTTCCTTGATTTAAGGTTTCAATGATTTCATAACCCGACTGCTTATTAATAGGTTCAAGTCGATTCCTGTTACTGCAGTTCCTAATCAAATAATGCAAAATAACATCATGCGTATCTATTTGGGTTGCTAAATTTGTCTCAATACACAATCGAAAAACTTGAAGAATCTCAACACAAATCCTCCTATAGGCCCATTTGTGTGTTCTATAGGTTAATGTTTTGCTTGGGCATGTGAAAGCTTCCGAATTTTGATCAATCAAATTTTTGGTTGATTTTCATGAACATCCTAATGTCTTAATAAGGTCCTATTGAGTCCCACCAGTCATGCTAGAGAAGATGTTTGATCTGAAATTTATTAGGGTCAATTGGGCTTGTATCTATTAGAATGCCTTTGATCAAGTGTGATGTGTATGTTAGATTAATGGGCAACGAGCCTATTAGTTCGAAAAAGAAGAGGGGAGATAAATAGACAGAGAGGAGGGGAAAAGAACTAGCTGAGAAGAATAGGAAAGAAGTATAAAAATTTAAATGGTTGAAAAAAGAAAGGAGAGAGAGACAAGGAGATGAAAGATAGAGTAAATGCTAATGTTATTGTATTGCTCAAATTTCGTGAGTCATTTACAATAATTTCACCCTCTATTTATAGGAGTTTGAGTAATGCCTCCAAAAAAACTTAATGTTTTAGAATATCCGCATCATTTTATAGTTATACAATTTATATAGTATTTACAAGTGTCGACTTTTAGGCCAAGTGGCCCTTTAAAACAAAGCATTCACCATCATATATAATCTCGATGGTGGGCTGCCTACTCAAGCCTTGTTTTTAAATAGTTGTGATTTGTTTAACTAGTATTTTATTAAATGTGAAAGGAAATAACGTTTCATAATTCGCTCTTTTAAACTCTAAATATTAATATAAACACTACCCCATCAAACACCATATAAATAATAAAAGTAATATTTTAACTATAAAAAGTTATTGCCAAACATATGACAAAGTGTCAATCTAAATATTTAGCCATTTATTTTTCATTCTTTCTATTCAAAAACTAGACATAAATAAATATCCATATATTTCAATTAACTACGTAACATCAAACACCCTAATGGCATACAAAGAAAAAAACTGGAACACATCCTTTTCCTTGTAATTTCTAATTAAATGATAGAGACTAATGTGCTAATTTTGATAAACTTGAAGGAATTTTAGTAATTAACCCAAGGGAAATAGAAAAAAAAAAAAAAAGAATAATTGCGGGTGAAAAAACAAAAGGCACGTGCAACTCTGGAAAAACACGTGGCTAGGGTTCTTACTTCTGAAAGCTCAATGAGTAGGAGAAACGAGCTGTTATTACCTGATCATCTCTCAACTGCGGCGAGCCTCACCTACTCATCGTCCAGGTGAAAAGAATTCTGCTTCCATCCGCTCGTCCATTATCCACATTCTCCGTTTTTAGGGTTCCCCTGCGTTTTCGTCTCTTTTAATCTCTCTGTTTGATTGTTTATCTATTGTAGTTAGAGGAGTTGCAGGAGTTACAAACCACTAACGATGAGGTAACAACCTTTCCCTCACTCTATCATTGGCTTTTGGTATTACTGTTTTATATAAGTTCTTATATCTATTTTCTTTTTTCGGGAACAGTAAGCTTCAAAGCTATACGTTGAGAGAAGTAATTTCAACTGTTGTTACACGGTCAAAAAATGGTAATCGAAATTTTACTGGGACAATTGAGCTTCAGATTGGACTGAAGAACTATGATCCCCAAAAAGACAAGAGATCCAGCGGCTCTGTTAAGCTTCCTCACATTCCTCGCCCCAAGATGAAAATCTGCATGCTTGGTGATGCTCAACATGTGCTATCTATTGCTTATAAGCAAAAAACAGTATCAGGTGTTGATACTCAAATACACCATCTCTGCATTTATATCTCTGCAATCTAAGCAATATTGCCCTGATTATGTACGTTGATTTGCAGGCATCTCAACTTTTATATTTCCGCAATCTAAGCAATAATGCCCTGATTATATACATATATCCTTGGGCAAATCGTGTGGCTTGTATATGATAATGGAAGAATTGTACTTGATATGGACCAGTGATTAGCATTTTCTATGATGTATTTTGCCTTGGTCTTATTGCTTGTGATTTTGGATATTTTCTGCTACAGGCAGCAAAGCTTGGTTTAGAATACAGGGATGTGGAGTCACTGAAGAAACTTAACAAGAACAAGAAGCTGGTGAAGAAGCTTGCCAAAGGGTTCCATGCATTTTTAGCTTCTGAATCTGTCATCAAGCAGATTCCTCGTCTTTTGGGTCCTGGCCTTAACAAAGCGGGCAAGTTCTTTTATTGTTTTTGGCAATTCTATTCTGTAGTATGCTTTTATAGTTAGCATGTTTTTAGATTTATCATCTCCTTCATATTTACTGAAATAAGGATACAAATGCAGGGAAATTTCCGACCTTGGTTGCCCATCAGGATTCTCTGGAAGATAAGGTTAATGAGACAAAAGCTATAGTGAAGTTCCAGCTTAAGAAGGTTCTTTGCATGGGTGTTGCTGTGGGGCACTGTGGAATGGAGGAGAAGCAGATTTTCCAGAATGTCCAATTGAGTGTCAATTTCCTCGTTTCACTACTGAAGAAGAATTGGCAAAATGTAAGTTTTATCATCTTCGTCCTACCTACTTATAACATTGTAGGTCACTTGAACCATCTCTGGGATAGGGCTAACAAAACATCTCCTTAGTATTATTAAATTCCACTTTATTGACATTTGAAGCTCTAAGCTAATGTGCATATAAGCAAGCATTATTGTCACTTGATCTGCTAGCTTGTTTGCGTCTCTGAATAAATTTTGGTCTCTTTCTTCAAACAGGTAAGGTGCTTATGGTTGAAGAGTACCATGGGACGTCCAGAGCGCATCTTCTAAGAAGTTCATTCGCTTCTCTTGAGGATTCTTCAACCAATACTCTTCTTTTCCCCTGAGAATGGTTCAGCTCAATTTTGTTTCTCATTGTTTATTTTGTTTGTTTAGACATTTGAATATTGATATCTTTTCTAATTGGAGGCAGATGTGTTTTAATTTAATCTGTTTCAACTTTCTATTCTATATCTCTGTATCCTCTTCTGTTCATATATATTGATTTATATAATACAAAAGATTCGCTTGTACATGTATGTATCTATTAGGTAGATGTACAAGGATTGAACAATCAGAAGTGGGTTCAACTGCTGCTTACCGTAGATTGATAATGTCCTAATTCAAAGAGCGTTCGTTGAGCAACCTTATGATATATTTTCTAAATTAAATATAAATAAAAACATAAAAATAGATTATTTGTAAAATGCTTTTTGAGCACAAGGACCTTCATGCTCTGCATCAGCCAAAAAGAAGTCTATTGTTCTCTGTTTAGCCTAGAATATTCCAAAACTCTCTAAAAATACATGCAATTCCCACATACCAAAATGTACATTTCTGCAGTAAATAAGGTACTTTTTGCAGCAAATAATCCATGCGGAAGAGAGATGTACTAGTATCTTACCCTGGGCCAAATGCAAAGAGAGGTCTAATGTACTTCTGGAACACCAAATGCTACTACTTCCATTCATACTGCTTCGGTCGAATCTGAAAAAACCCAATCCTATATACAGCTAAATAAAAGCCAGAGAAGCACAATATGAATCACACTGATTATCAAAAAATGTATGACCAATTAAGGAATAGAGATGTTCATATGATAGAATACAAAAAAGGCCCTCGCTACATTATTGTTATACAAGGCATGTGGAGAACAATTAGATTCAAATGATAATTGTTGGGTGAAAAAAATCATGTCATAAATAGATTCATTGAGCACTAATTAAAATCAAATATTGATGACATTTAAGTCGTGTTGGATGTGTGGAGAATAGATTGCTACTGCTACTGTTTCACCATGAAAGAGCTTTTACAACTGCACCCACCAACTGCGCTTGGATTTATAGTCACCTACGAATGGAAGTAGAGTTTAGTTCCTGCCACTTCATTTGCCACATAAAGAGTGATTCAAGATGAATAATCGAATAGTTTATAAACATGAACCAAAAATTTGTTTCGTCAAAATAAGCATTAATTAGGATCCAAAGATTTGCATGAAGCATCCAAGCTAACTACAAAGTGTCTGCAATTCAGCTGCTAAATGTGTATGTACACATACAAGAGTTGTCTATGGACCATGCAGTTTGTGAGATTACTATAGAGCCAATATCATCATCTTATGGTTTGTTGGAAATACAAAAATTTGCTGACAGCTTATCTCTGCAACTACTCCATTTCAGAAAAAAAACATTAACTTAATACCATGAAAAGTAAAAAACTGACCCTTAGCATAAATATACTAGAAAACACAACATTCTGATTCTTGCTACTTGTGTTAATAGAAATGCACATTCAGCTAGATAACTCCATAATCTCATTTGACTAATCCTGTCTGAATTACTGCATCCAATAATCCAGGACTAGGAAAAAGAAGAAAAAGCTCTAATTAGATGTTACTGTCTACCTTCTCTCATGTGATCAGAACAGATCGAGATTATTTGTGACTCAAAAAAGCCAAAAATTTAGCCATATATGTTAATGCTCTGACCTCTCTTAGTTGTCGACATTGTCTAGTTTCCTGACTAACATAGGGAAACAGGAGAACAGCTGAAGTTGATATTAGGGAAACAGGAGAACAGCTAATGTTAAAAAATGTTAAACTTCATTTAAGGGGGAGGCTGTATAAAACAGACTACTTCTACCCTCTCTTGGCCTCAGAAAGTGATAGTCTTGTCCATTGGAGACAGCTTTTTCTTTTTCGAGATGGAATTTCATTTCAAAGGAAATATAACTAAACAAAAATAGAGACATGTGGACATGAATAATGGACTTCATAACCTCCATTCTATTAAATTGCAAAGGGAAAGAGATAAAGCCTAGGTGGATTATTTTTCCCCTAAATCACTAAATCCATTTTCCTTCAAAGTGAAAATGGAAAGAAGTCCATAAACTTGGCTATAACATGCTATATGTAGATTCATCTATATACAACATGAAATTATATATATGAAAAAAAATGCATCAACCGATAAGATGAAACAACTTACTACAAAAGCAGAACGAATCAGCTCCTCAACATAGTCAATAGTTGCCCCTTTCACAAAATCATATGAAATATTGTCAACTACCAATTTTATTCCTTCTCTCTCAAAAACTCTGCAAACAATAAATGATATCCAGATTAAACCATAAGAAACATAAGCATTAACATCTTTCCTAGTTAAAGAACAGAAACTGGAAAGTGATAGTGCACAAAAGTAGAAGAAATTCAAGACCTGTCATCCAGATTGATTTTATTGTCTAAGTCGAATACATACTGGAAACCAGAACATCCACCAGTTTCCACACCCAAGCGAAGCAGTTTTTCATCTGCTGATCCTTCACTGGCTTGCAGCTCCTTCATCCTCTGCAAGGCAATCCTCAACTTAATGGAAAAGCTAGAAATACAATTACATACAAACACAAGCTTCTTAAGTTTACATATATAAATCCCATACAACCCTCTCTATAATTTTATTAAAAGAATAATGATACTAGCTAATGCTAACAATTAACGTATAAAGGCATGTTTGGTTCATCTTGGAAATATAATGGGAATGGAAATGGACACCTAAATCAAAATAATCCTATTTAAATTTCTTTTTGTTAGATAATAAAATCAAATTTGTTAGTCATATTAAGAATTACACTTAAAAATAGATATTATTTTTTAACATAAACTCAAATATAACAAGCCGAAAAATGGAATTCTTCTACAAGAATTGCATTCTGTTTCCGATTTTAGACTAAACCAAACGTTACCTTATGACACAGGAAAAGGAAATATGCCTATGTTCCATTTAATGAAACTGCTATGTGCACAAATGACATTCAAAGAACACCATAAGAACAACATGAAATATTCCATTAACGACACTACATAGTCAAGCAACAATCTGTTCAAACTTCTAATTCCTTCAGTGAAGGATTCCAATCCAATATAAAAAAGGTTGGTTAAGAAAAAAAAGAAATTGCAGTCATAAAGTTTTATAATTCATCCAAAATAGCACAAAATCGGGAACTTCCCATACAAATAGGAAACAAAAATTAACATCAACGAGAGAGTTAAAAACAAAAGGCCCAAGAAAACCCAAATAACGAAACAGCGGAAAGAAACATAAAATTATATGATTACCCGAACACAATTATCAGTTAAGTGAATGGCATCATCGAGAGAAGGAGAAGAAGAAGGAGCAGGAGCTTCGCGAAGAGCAGAAGAGGAACTAAGAAGCCTGTGATTCTGACGAATCCGAGAGATGAAGAAGGGTGTTATGCGGTGAATTAACGATGATCTGGACATAGCTTTGTTGGGTTTAACAAGCTTTTGTTGTTTGAATTAATAAATTACCATTATTATGAGGGTGTGGCAACTTTGGTTTTTCTGGGTTTTCTTCTCTGACGAGGGCGTTGGTTTAATCTGATGGAGAAGGAAAGTGGCCCGTGCTTAACAAACGCATCACGTGCTCCTTTTCTCTTCCGACAATGATGGGTACAAAGTCAAATTTCCAAAAACTTAAGGGGGATGAATTCGTATTTGTACAAAGTCAAAGCCTTTATTATGTAATTTTCTTTTCACTATATTTTTGCAAGCCTAACACATTTATTTCTTCGTTTAGCAAGACTCTCTCTCTTTTGGTTTTTTTCAGCCATTTCATCGAACGGTTGGGCTGCCATACTTGAAACCTCGACGGTATGTAGCAACCTACTGTGATTTTTCTTTCTTTCTTCGTTAACTCGAGACTTCTTTTTCTTCTTCTTCTTAGTCTTCTTTTTCTTATTTTTTTTGCCTTTCTAGTTTTTGTTTGGGATAAGAAGGCATTTATAGTCCATTTCAATTCCATCCTCGTTCATGTGTTGATTTGTGAAGTGTATCTTTTATATGCTGAGTTTTATTGGGTTTATCAACATCTGATTGATTTTTAGTTAGTTTGCGCCTGAAGAACTAGAGAACCTTTGGATGGATTGTTTCATCATACATTTAAAATCTTTTTCTATATTTAAATTGCAGTTTGATAAAGTTGTAAATGATTTTATCAGTTTATAAGAATTCAAAGTTATTTTGATGCCATCGAATAACCTGGAATAATAGATCGAGAAATTGTACTAATCCCTTATGTGGATTTGTCGTGTATACTTGAACCTTATGTGGGAGTTAAAATCATGCAACAAAAACTTTCTTTTTCTTTTCTTGTTTAAATTTCCTCTTTCATTTGGTTTTAGTAGATTTCCAAAAGCTGAGGAAATGTAAATAAAAGTTTGGTTCTTATTGCTGGCTTTCAAGTCCTAGTTACCAAGAAAGGCCTTAGTTCCTCGCTGAACTCTCCTCAAGGGTTCTTAGGAGTAAGAGATTGACCTGAGATCATAAATGAGTTTTTTTGGAAAAAACGTTTGTGCATGCTTTCTGATTACATTAGGCTTTGTTGGCCTAGTGAAGAAGTGAGGCAATGTCTGTGCAAAAGGTCTTTCTGGGGGCTTGGTTATTGTATTTGAACTGATATTACCATAACTATGCATGCATTATTGATTTGATTTAATGGAAGTAAGGGAATAAGGGCCAGTAAGTTACATGAATCTGCTAACATGATCACACTGTGAGTAAACTGTTTCTGATAAAAAATTATAATGTTGGAAAACGATATGGAGAATATAAATGGATGGAGCCAAACCATAGAGCTGGCTTTTGTCCATTTAAAGAGCTAATCTTTCTTTTCAAGCCGTTTAAATTATCTGTCATTTCAAAACTTTATAGGGATTATTTACTTGAGAAAATATTTTTGGTTCATCTAGTAGGAGAAAATATTTTTGGTTCATCTAGTAGCATAAAGTAAGATCTAAATATTTGTGCTTCCTTATGGAGTTTCTCTAAATTTGGCAATGATGGGAAAAGTTCATTGTATTTGAGTCTTTGACATTCATAAACAACATTGCTTGTCAGGTTGTTATTTTTATAAATACTCTAGTATTAACAGGAATATTGTTGTTTCTTTGTACAAAGAATTGAGGCCTAGCTTAAAATAAAAATGAACAATAACTCATCAAGCTGTGAGCAAAAGCTTCAACCCCGGAAGTTGGAGATATCAGACAAGAGCAAAGGTTTTGTGGAGTTATTGCAACAATTAACCATTTGTGATTCTGTATCAGATGAGGAATTTGAGAAGCGATTCCAAGAGATAAGCACATATGGCGATGACCATCTTATTTGTGTAGTTGAAGATGATCATACCGGAAAGATTATTGCCACCGGGAGCGTGTTTATTGAAAAGAAGTTCATAAGGAATTGTGGCAAAGTTGGGCACATTGAAGATATTGTGGTTGATTCAAATGCTCGGGGCCGACATCTGGGGAAGAAAATTGTTGAGTTCTTGACAGATCATGCTCATTCAGTGGGTTGCTATAAGGTGATTCTTGATTGCAGCATTGAGAACAAACCATTTTATGAGAAGTGTGGATTCAAGCAGAAAGAAATTCAGATGGTGAAGTATTTTAATTGAGAATTGTACCATGCCCTTTCACCATATATTTGAATGATTTACTTTAAAAGAACTCTTGAGTTCTGTACTCCTATCTTGAATTTTGTCATCTTCATCATCAATAATATGATTGCCCTTGAATTTGTTAATTGTAGCTTTAAAAACTAGTCGATGTATGCAAGTCTGCAAAAGAATCTCCCCAGTTAACTAACCTTCTTGTTTTGTCCAGCATCAGTTCCTAACTAATTATTATTGGTATAACTAGACTATATATGCATTGCAGCAGATATATTATACTACATATGATTAATGTTATAATTTTAAATGATTTTCTCACGTCAAGATTTATGAATTTTCAATTTTCATTCCTCTTATATATTGAGAAAGAAATAAATAAATAGAAGTAGAAATATTATTCTAAATCTACATAAAAAGTAGGGAAGAGAAAAAAGTTTCTTATCGTATGATCAAGCAACGAATGTTTACACAAAGTAGTTAAATGATAGAAAATTGAATGTAATCAGCAAAATCTTAACACGTTATTTTAATTAGCTTTTAGATATTAACGTAGCGTCTTATAGAAAGGTTAGCTAACATTTAATAACTACTAAAATAGCTAATTTTAAAGGATTTGCAATTTTACCCTACAAGCCCTTCGTATAAATCAATAGAATTTTTAATATTCACCATCTGATATTTGCATGCGAGAGCAAAAATCGGTTTAGATTGGAAAACGAGAATCGAGATTAAAAATTCGATGAAACCGAATCGAATCTAACAGTTTGTCAAAGCTGTACCGTTTGCTTTATGTGAACATTCATTACACAGGTTAGAACTATGTCGTTTTTGGTTAAATGGTATCAGATTAATCTCTATAAGGTTTCGGTTCGGTTTGTCTTAGGATATGTCGGTTTGGTTTAACTAAAATTTTTGCTGATTAGAAAAATTATACAATGGTCACCTAATTTTATACTTAATTTCATTTAGGTCACATAATTTTAATTTGTTATTTTGTAGTCACTTAACTTTAATTTTTGTTTCAATGGGAGATCATTTACCGAAATCTGATAATCGGAACAGTAAAATGAAATTACATATATCACAAAAATAAAATCATGATTACAAAGGAATATAAAAAGAAAATGAAATAATACTACACAATATAAATAATAGAGTAAAAGTTTTGTTCTCTTTTTTTTTTTTTTTTTTTAAACCCGTTTAATGTAAATGAAAATTTTTATTAAATAAATTAATAGGTAGATTCTAAATTAATGTATTAGAAGAAAATAATTATTTTTAAAATAAAATTTTTTATTTTGATTACCATGTTAGTATTTTCGATGATAGTATTTTGGTGAATGACCTCTCGTTGAAACAATCATCAAAGTTTAGTAACTAAAAAATGACAAATTAAAGTTACGTGACCTTATGAAATTAAATATAAAGTTAAGTGGCCATTGGTGTAATTTTCCCATTAGATTACAGATATATAATCTACTCCCTTCCTCCCATTTTTTTGCATAGTTTGGCAAAACACGGATGTTAATAATTATAATTAGTTGTTGATCCGCGTTTCGCGCGCCGTTACTTACATTATCTAAATGTAATTAGCTTAAAAATATTAGTTGACTGGAATAAATAAAATAAAATAATCTTAAAAATTTTCAAAATCATAATAATCTATATATCAATTAAAAAATAAAATTTTAAAAAATATATTCAAGATCCAATCAAATTGTAGAAATATAAAATAAAATTCTAAAAATTTTTAAAAATAATTGACTACTCCTTCCATCCCATTTTCTCATTTTTTTGCATAGTTTGGCAAAACACGATGTTTTAAGCATTAATTAGATTAGTTGTTTTTGATCCCGGCGTTACCTCACCTCTTTTTTGCGTATCTTTCGCGCTGAGCCGTTTAAACGCTACCATTATCTTAAATATGCGGTTTGGGGTTGTTGCCGCCGTTTCTTCATACAGTTTAGCATTTATAAAGAATAGTTAGTTGACTGGAATAAATAAAATAAATAATCTTAACAAATTTTTTCAAAATCATAACCTAAATCTATATATCAATTTAAAACTATCTATATATCAATTAAAAAATAAAATTTTAAAAAATATATTCAAGATCCAATCAAATTGTAGAAATATAAAATAAAATTCTAAAAATTTTTAAAAAAAGAAAAATGAAAAAGATGAAAGGAGAACACATTTAGAATTTTATTTTTGTTTATATTTTAGTTCAATGATTATTATTATTAAATATTTTATAATTAAATATATTTAAAATTTCAAAAAATATAACTGATTATTTGAAATTTTTAAAAATGATACAATAAATATAATGTATTAAAGTCACCTTTAAACACTATAACTATATTAGAGTTTGAGTTAGATATAAATGTTTTAATAAAAATCAAATCCTTCAATTTCACATTATTGCACTTAGGATAGAAAATTAATTTGGTTTAATGGCTAGGTTTAAATATGGGTGAAAAATAAAAATTTGATATAGGCTTCAAATTAGTTGCAAGGGTCATACTTTAACTTAGGTTGTATAGGCTAAACATGAAGTTTTTAACAAAGAATGTCTAAATCATTTCTTTCTAAATGTAAGCATAAAAAAATTTGTCTTGAAGAAAATTTTAATTTTGTTCTAGGAATGCCAAGGTTAAATAAATTTTGATTAAAATACATGTCACGACCCGATTCCACGGGCCGGACCGACACTAGGGCCCAGGTAAGCTTAAGGCCCCCGAGGCCCGTAGTAAGCCTGAAACCCTAAAATTTGCTATCTTAATATAAATTTCGAATATTCAGCCCATATTAAAAAAATAAGCCTCAAGATTTTATTTCATCTCATTTCTAATATAGGCTCAAAGCATCATTTCGTCTACGATAATACACGACTAAAGGTAAGTAAATTCTACAACTGCGGAGTCACTAACTATTTGATATACATAGCCTTTTATACATACAGTTACATACTGAAATAATTATGGAATTAAGGAAAATTTCTTTGATGCCTTGCGTCAAAGAAACGTAACCTAATTCGAACTAAAGAGGAACTTACTTCCTGAAAAAATTAAACAAGACATGTGAGTTTTTCCTAAAATGATAATTATTGCACAACACATACAGTCACACAAATGTATCTGCACTCACACATATCACGTCACACACAGATGTGTAAACAAATATCAATCTAGTCATCCCGACTAGTTTTATAGGATTGGCTCACGCAAGGGCAGTCACACAAATGGGCATGTCACCAGCAACCACAAAACAATATCACCTTCCAAATAATCACATCACGTGGAAAATTGGTCCTGTTGGCGTCACCTCAGAGAACCCCGATGAGATGGCCGTCCTCGCCACAATGGCCCAATCCTCCTCAATACTGTGGCACCAGGGAGCCGATCCTCGTCATACTTGGCGGACTATGGTTTACCGAGGTCTGTATCCTCTACTTTGACGCAGGCACTATTGCACATTTGTTTTTCGGCCCATTCCCTCATTTTCTTTTCCAATACCAACAAGGCAACTCCCGTCGTCTCCATCATCAAATCTAGAATCATCTATTAGCGTACTAAAGCACGGAGCCACCCTGTTGTATGGTTGCCCGGGCCTGCGGATCAAATGCGCTGATTATCACGATGCGCCCAAATAAAGAAGCCAAACCTGTGGTTAACCGTAACGGTAACAGTAGGTGCAGCCTACGCCGGATGGCTTTTAGCCGATCTCCCATTTAAAGCGCCTGGGGCCCGAGCTTTATCTCCGGGGGGTCCCAGTTTTTACAATTCATCATAATCAGGTCATGCTTTATCGACCGTCTCACAAACCATGGGACGCCACACACTTCATCACCGAAATATTATTTTTCCCACGCACACAAGCCTAAAGCAGCTAGGCCGATATATCACAACAACAAATAAAACATCAAAGCATTGGCAATCAAATGCAGACATATTATTCATTTAAGACATCGGGATACCAATGCACCATTAACATACCAAATCAAAATGGCAGAATAAATAATAAATACAATAGTATTAGGGCAATTAAACGGACAAAATATAATAAATAACAATATTCAAAATAATGTAAATATAAATATGAATTCGTAATATTTAAAATAGTTAAATGAATAATAAAGTTTATAATACAACGCAGAGCAACTATATTTAATTATGTACCTGAAAATTATAAGAACTAATTCTAAATAACTTATTAATTACATGTGTTAATTAAAATTTATTCTAATTTCTATTTCACAAAAATTTCGGCAGCATCTCCGCTAAAAAATTGAGAACACTATCTAATCCACAAGCTCAACACTCATCACATATTTTATCAACTTAACGCGATTTCCACAAAAGATACATATATCTTCTTCGCAAATAACATACTAATGTATGAATCCCATAAAAACATTAGTAAACATCATTTATCTGTAGAGTAGAATTTTAAATTTCACCATCGAAGTCCGCTATTTGTTTGTTATTACTTCTCTTAATATTAAATTGCCTTTCTGAAAATAACTTTGCGTTTATTTTGTATTCCTCAATTATACCAGAAATTTTATTTTATTTTTCCGTACCCCTGAAATTTTCTTTTAGTATTTTAACCGCGATTTTCGGCAGCATCTTCCCGCCTAAAACGAATTGGACTAATCCCACTCTGCTAAAATATCAACGAGAATTTAATCATTATAGTAAACTTCAATCCCGCTAATCGGATCCGCCAATCCGCATCGGGCAATAAATCGAATAAAATTTCCCTATCCTCCTTGGCAATCTGCAAAACACTCACCAGACACACAACCAAAATTATGAGATTTTTAATTGGTTGTTAATATAACTTATTGTCTAACACTACCTTAACCCTCCTATAAATTCTATAAATATACCATTATCACAAAGTTCGCTTAACACTAATTCAACACTAAAATGAAATATATGCTGGAAAAATAATCACTGCAAAAGAAATAAATTAAGCTAATCACAAGACCTATTAGAAAAATAACAATTCTAAAATTAGTCCAAAAATTAATTATATACCGAGTCAATCTTTGCAAGTGTTTCTGGAATAATGTTCAATCTGGGAAAAAGGATTACGCGTGTTGGATACGTGTAAGTGGTTAGGG